AAATAAAACAATCAAATCCGATTTTAGTTGAGCTATAGTAGCGGTATTACTGCAGTCATGACTGAAAACGATGATGTCGGTAAGCAAAGTTAATCATACAGGCTATAGACGTACATTTTCCTTAATAGACGAATGAACGACGATTCGTTTCAAAATTTAAAAAAAATTTAAACATATAACTTGGTAACGCGTCGTAACGTTTCTAAAATTGTTAATAATCTAAAAAAATGTTAAATTTAAATGTTTTCAATGTTTTTTACTATGCAATAATGATGTGAATGATTTTTTAAATCATCTATCACGAAGAGATCGTAAGTTATATATTTTCAGTTGAGGCTGAATTTGAAAAAGTTTAGTTAGTAATTGTTTTCAATAATAATAATAATTTCAAACATCTTATGTTTTTGTATACCTATTCAAATGAACATCATTGTATAAAAGTCTGTTTTATGTTTGTAACGTCTTCTACAATTGTATACCAACATTTGATTTACGGCGTGTGAATTTGTTTTTAAATTTAAAAACAGAACACTATATATTTTAGGTAGGTAAAATATTTCATAGTCTACCGTTGTGTTATTGTTACTAGCATAGGCTATAAAACACTATTCAACATAGTAAATTAGGTCTTTCAACTAATTAACTTTTATATTTATACGTAACTTGTACATTTACGTGTTGTTAGAAAAAACTTTAAATGAAACAACAACATTACAAATTTAATTATACAAGATTATTTTCAATTTTTTAATATACTGGATTCAATTATAAATATAATCAAATTGATGTTGACGCCCCCGTTAAGTTATACCTACATAATCTAAATTATTAAAATAAATATAATTAAATTTGACAATTTATTTTAATTTTAATTTAATGGTCAAAATTATATACAGAGTGATTCACCAAGCCAATTTCACTGGCTCGTCCCCTTGTTCAATAATATGCAGTTATTTAAAACCTGATTTTCGGAATTTTTATATATACTTTAAGACCATATTTTCAAATTCTTGGGATTTTTTTTGTACTACTCAAGGAGTGTTCTGTGGAGATAAAAACTTCTGTTTTTTTTTTTCAAATGAAAACCCTCATTTTTAACTGTAAATTATTTAGTGGATAATAAGAGTAGTTTTTAAGTTATTGAACTTTGTGTTCTGTGGATAAAAGTTCCATGGACTGTAATGGGCTTATAAGATATAAGAGCTATGGTGATTGGAAAATTTCAGTCATTATTCATTAATATTAATTTATCAAAATTAATAATTTTTAAAAATGTCCCAAGTATAATAAGTATTGGTTACAACATTACTTCTGTTTTATATATTTGTTAAACCATTTTTTAAAGACTATTATCTTTAGAACATACATTTTAATAACTATAACTAAGAAATTACTCATTCGAATTTTGAATTAGATGCATTAAAATTGTCCAAAAAAATGTCCACTAAATAAATTACAGTAAAAAAAGAGTGTTCTCATTTGAAAAACAGAAGTTTGTATCGCCACATTATACTCCTTATGTAATACAAACAAATTCAAAAATTTGAAAAAATTGTCTTTGAGTATATTTAAAAATTTCAAAAATCAAAATTTGAATACATTTACTATTAAAGAAAAAAATGCTATTGAGCAGGCTTGTTAAATAACACTGTATATGTATATTTACATTATGCTATTGTACTGTATTTAAAAAAAAATTGTGATAATCCTTACCACACATTTAACAAAAAAAAAATTAAATTAAATTACTTATCTGTAATGTGGATTTTAACTTTTAAGTAAATTTCAGTGGCTTATAATTGATAAATATTGAATAAACAGTAACTAATATAAATTTGTAAAATATATTGAATATTATCGGTTCCTCATAGACCTAGCCATATCGTTAAAATATCTTTAATCTGTCACATAAATTAATGTTGGTATTTTTCTGTGTGCAAATTATGTCTGCTTTAATTTCATGTGAACCATAATATAAATGTTGTGATTTATTACAATCATGTATCATACACAGGTGATTAATCAAGCATGCTTACCCCCACTTTTTTTAAATTATTTAATTTATCAAAATCCTGATTTTTTTCATTTTTAAGTATACTACCAAGTGTGTAAAACTAGGTCATTATAACAATTGTTTTTTCAAACTATAACCATTCTTTTATAAAAGTTGTCTAATTATTATAAGTAAATGGGAACCAGGATAAAACATATAACATATATTTTACACTTTATGTAAATCTATGAAATGGTGATAATCTTTGAAAAATAAACATCAATACCTAGTTCATAAGCTACTCGTCTGAATTTTTATTTTCTATTTATATGAATCGACATAATATTACAGAAAATCATCTACTTAAAAATGTGCAATAATATTGAGTGATTCTCGTTTGAAAAAGGAGCTTATATTATCACAAGAAGCTTAAGAAGCTTAGGTATAAAAAAATCTAAGTATCTGAAAATATGGTGTGTAAATGTAATACAAAATTACAAAAATCAGAATTTGAATAAATTCATTATTAATGGATAAAATAGGTGGTGACTATCCTTAGTGTACCTTTATTAAATATATAATAATATATGGACATTACAGGACATAGCCTATTCGGCACTAGTTTTTCATAAACAGCACCCGTTTTACAAAAAGGTAAATTCCTAAACGGCTCCCGTTTTTTACAACACAAATTCTTTTTCACTTCATTCGGGTTTAGGCCTGTCTTAAAAGAGGTGGTTAAAAATGTGTTGGAATTTTTTTTAAATTTTATATTATATATATATATATGGATATTTGCAGGTGTATATAAAATTTAATAATAGGTACATGCAGTATATTATTATTTATTACATAGGTTGTATTATACGTTAATAAATTTAATGCAACTATAAGCTAAGATAAAATAAGTAAACAATAATCACAAAAATTAGTCTTTTGAATAAATCCCATGTACCTATACATTTTAATGTTAGTTATTTATCCATTAATACATTCTTATGTTTATGTACATAGTATACTACCACTTCCGGATTGACCGGATACAATGTATCCGATACATTGAAAATTGAAATTACTCACTATATTTTATATACAATTGGTGCAGTGTAAAACGTATTGCGTGTACGTGATCCAAATAATGTTAATGATTATCAATAATGACTGATATTATACACATACGTAGAACTATACTAGGGTTATAAGTATTTACTGTCTAGTAGAAATAGTAATAAACCACGATGTATATGTGCACAGAGATCAATTTTACCATAGGTATCTAAATCCAAATGAATCATATAGGCATTTTGTTTATTTTTGTGTTATAAATATTTACCCATCTATTTCAAACGTGTTTAAAAATTCTTAATGGCAGATTTAGTTCGTGACAATCTGGTATTTTTAATGGTTTAGTCTAAATTTGTTTCATATTACACTAACCTAGCATAAACTTTCCACTTCTATGGTGTGTTTGAAACTGGGATTAAGTTAATCCTATATATTGAACAAAATTCTCCCTTAAATAAAAACAAACTTTAAAAATATTTCAAAATTAATTTTATATTTTGCAAGTAAAAGAAATATATTGGTTTTAAAATATGTTTCGGCCAATTATTTTTAAATTAGTTTAAAGGCCCTAATAATTCCATATAGGTGTATTGACACAATTTAAGCCAGACAAAAATTATATAGGTAATCGGTTAGTAATAATATGGCTTTATATAATATGCCTCATAAAAATTATAATGAGTTTCATTTCAAATTATTTTAGAATGGCATAATTGCTCATGCTCCGAGTTAAAATAAAAACTAAAGGCCCACTTAAGTTTTCCTTTTTAAATTTATTAAGTACATAAAATGCATGAAAAAATAATGTAAGGTAATAAATTACGCCTTTGAAGCTGTACCAAGAATGAAAAAAAAATGTCTAAGGGGCAATTGAAAAACAATATAATATTATATAATATACAACATCAAATTCTGGATGTGATTTTTAAAATTTCATAATAAATTACTATATTTTTGTTTATGTTAACTAATATTTATTCACTTCCTTAAATTTGAAGGTATTAAAATTTTATTTTTATTATTTTATTCAATTAAACGCCATGTTTGATTAGTGATCTATTTCAAAAGATACATAGAGAATAAATAGATATAAATACTCCTAATAACATTATTAGTTAAATATTTGTATGCAAATATTGTGCTTAAAATTCTAAATTTAAAAATATGGGTTTTAATATGGACTTCGTATTTATGAATGGTTATAACTGATAACATATTGGTTTTTTCCCCACATGTAAAACAAAAATCGTATGTTATAATATTATGTAAAATATTCAAATTTACTTAAATAAACAAAAAAACAAAAGCACTTCAAAATGTATTACAAAGTAATTTATTGCAGCATATCTAAAATATATTCTTATCATAATACAATACCAATGAATACCCAAATTTATTGATGAATAATATAAACGATGCTTTGACACCGCGAGAAAATAAAAATTGTAGAAATAATGTAATTTATGTAAAATATTATTATGTGATAAATTATTATTTGCTAATAGGGTAGATTTGTTTTAAACTTTTATTCATATGCTGCATTCACGTGATATACACCCATTAATCATTATTAGTATTCACTATTGGTTTTTATTATTTAGAGTCCTTATAACGTATTTATATTATGTACAATATGTTATTTTGTCAACTATTTTTAATATGTCACATGCGGAATAATAAAATAAAATTTGTTAGTGGTTTTTATATTATAAGTTTCCCTTATATGCTCCTATGCGATTATGCAATCGATGTATCTATTAAAGATTATATTTATATTTATCAATATTTTTATTCGATGATATTAATAATTACAGTAAAATAAATCATTTACTTTTTTAACTACACCTAGTTAGGTAATTGTTAAGAATGTTTTTTGGAAAAAATGTATAAAATATTATAAACGACATTTTAATACGTACAATTCTGGTTTATTTATTTGTAGATCGTGTTATGTATGCCAGAAATCAACAATACAAGTACAGTAAAGAACCAGTTACGGGTGGGAAACCTATAACAGTGGAACAAGCGAAAGTAAGCTATATTTGGTATATTGAATAACATTCAAAATATTTTATCCGTTTATTGTTTACATGAAGATTTCCCAATACAATTGGTTATTTTTTAATGAATCATAGAAGCTAATTTTTCAGGGGAGATGCCTAATTTATGTTTTGAAAAAAAACAATATAAATAATAAATAATAATACCAATAGCCTTTGCATTATTGATTAAGTATATAAGAATTAAGAATAACAGTGTACCTAATATAAATGTAAAAAAATGTTTTATCATCGTACGACTGATATGTTTGTATAGATCATGAACTATAGAATATTATACTTTACGCTCCCTTTGTTTTATTCTGTCTTTTTTAATTCATTGAGTGACAAATATTTGATTGCCCGGCGTACTCATGAGTCATCAATCATCGTACAGATATTGAAACGAAAATGTAAATTTCGATTTTGTTTTATAGGTACGGTTCAATTTAAAATTTTAATTGTTGATTGTTCTTAATTTGATTTTCTATACTTTCTATTATTTTATTTCCATATCCAATGTATATATATAAATTTAATGTATTAATTATATTATTATTTAACAAATAATTCATTAGCATTATAATCATTTTTTAAATCTAACGTACCCAACTCATTTTAGACACTTGACTTATCTAGATCACTATATTTCGTTACTTTAACATGTGATTTAATTTACTAATGTTCGTAATTTCAAAATTAATATAGAATGAGGCTTAATATTATTTTATAGTGAATTATATGAGTATTTTTATTTCTAACTTATTTTTTTAGAACAACACATAGCACAATAAAATCATCAACAATTTAATTCTTGGATACTTTCAAAACATAATAGAAGTAGTTCATGTTGATACGTATTTCAAAAATATACTTAAACCTTAAACTTATTTTTCATTTCAATAATTTTCCTTTAAAATAAAAATTCAATCACAATTAAAATAAACCATTTACGTTATTTTCAAACATCTATTATTACATAAATCTGTATTCAAATTATACTTTGTTTACAGAGTGCACTTGAAATACTCACTAAATGGTCTTTTATCTTATTTATTATTATCATATCGCTTTATAATTATCTCTGATTAAAATATTTATGGGCATATTAAGTTTAACCGAGCAAATTCGATGATGATAAATATAAATATAAATACGTGGTAGATTTACCTACTGTAAATTATGGTCAGATAATTAAATCATTATTTTATATTTGAACATAAGTGTATTATTTTTAAGTTGATTATTTCTTCGGTTTACATTCAACATTTTATACAGCTGTCCAACTGAAAATTCATAATATTAGCATGAATTCCAAAGAGATATTTATTTTTAAATTATTAATATTTGTTGTATTTTCAGGCATTACGCTTGACTGTATTTGGTGCGTGTGACACACCACCTAGAGGCGAATGGCTACGTACTGGGTTTGTGTTCAGAGATCCCGAGAAAGAGCTATCGTACGGCTTACGGGCACGCAGAAATGGAACAAGGGGAATGCAGACCGCAATACAAGGATATATACTCAAACATTTGTTATTCACAAGCACTAACACCTCGTAAATATATTTAAAGCTAGTAATAAAATAAAAATTATAAGAAATTTAAAATCTTAAGTTCATCAGGCCATTTAATTTCATTTTTAAAACGATGCAGTTCTATTGTCAATAAAAAATTTCTTTGTGTCCTTGTATTTAAATTATAGTTGTATTGTTCATAATATATGTGGACACTTTTTAAATAAGGAAGTTATAGCTTATCATATAAGAATAATCTAAATTGTATCCTCGAGGGGTTATTTTATGATCAATACTGTTACTGTGTTACACAAAGATTAACTGTAATTGAATAAATTAGTTTTCATTTATAATGACCCAATAATGATTTGTATTAATCACCAAGGTGTATAATATTCAATTTAAACATTTGAATAAAATTAGATTTTTTTATTAGATGTATGAAACCATCTAAACCGCAGCAACTGGATGCTCTTTGTAAATCAATCACCGAAATCCTGTGGAAGATTGGCGATAACGAAAAAGTGATAGTATGTTTACCGCAAGAAAAGAGTTACGTAGCCCACTCGTTAAACTATTTCCAAGATAATGTTACCGAAAAAGTAAGGAGATTCCCTATTAATACAATTGACTCAAAACATGTATAATCTAGTCATAGTTAAGTTTAGGAAATACAAAATACGATCTTCGAGGAAAATCCAATCAATAATAATTGCTATCAATGTGGTGCACTAAAAAAATTTTAAAAATACCTACTCGTGATTTGAGTGAAAACAACAGCACCAATACATACTTTACATACATATATTTGTATTTGTATGTTATACATTTAGTTTACGATTTTCGAACTTCTAACAAAATGAGCCTTCGAGCCTCAAATGGAAGATTTGAAATATTGGTGTTCACAGTTAGTTGTAATAATTATATGTTTAATTAATTTCATAGAGATGGAAAAAAAAAAAATTTTAAAACAATTCAAGTAAATTTAGAGAATTAAAAAAAGTATTAATGTTTTGAATAAGTTCGAAATTTATTGTGGAATAGTTTTTAATTATTAATTTGATTTTTATGTAAAGATACCGTCGGCCACATCATAGTAGTTGCCATTACAAGTGATTCACAGAAATTTATTTACATATTGATTAAACATATCACATGATTTTATAATATTTTAGTCTGTAATAAGTGACTCGTTCAAATGTCTCATTTATATTTTAGTCATAATATAAACATTTTAATATGTATTTAATTTTAAGTTATCCATTATTATATAAATAATAATATCATATATAATTATAGCTCCACTTATTCGAGTTAACAAATTGTCAAGACTTAGAAATTTTCCTCAAAAGATATTTGCATTTGGTAAGATTATAATTTTTTTGATAATTAATAGTTATAGGTAGGCACATTATAATATAAATGATAATTTTCTAACCAAAAAATAATAATTCATAACTAAAAGAGGAAACATGGATGTTATTTAAATTTAAAATTATAGATAATAATGTTATATTATTTATATTTTGTGCTTGAATACCTACATTTACAGTGATTAGTTAAAAGAAATATTAATGCCATGAATTATCTCTAGTTCCAAGATGATCCCGGACCCGGATCACTATTATTGCTTTACAGTGCAGTGCTAACTAGAGGAATATCTAAGTAAATATCATACTTCAATATTTATATCGTAATATCATTGTATTATATATTGTATTATGCTATCTATTATGCAACAAAACACGTTAATACTTTATCATCGAAACGGTAATATCAAAATTGTAAATATACTTATAATTCATTATTATAGGTACCCAAGTGTAGGTACCCACGTGCAGAGTGAAAATCACTGAGAAGGTTTAGGAACGTGTAATGATATACTAACGGATTAAAATGCATTATAGTTTCCCAACGAGTAATTATACACTATTTAAAAACAATAACAATTCTCAAAAGAAAAACGTCAATATTATTTTGATTTGAATATTTGCATATATTTACTTAGGAAAAATAAACACTGTTCAATTATACAAAATCGTTTAAAGTTAAAAAATGATTTCATTGTGATTGATAATTAATACGATGTAACATCAATGGTTATTACCTTAATAAATTGTAATTTACTAAATTATATTTGTTGTTTCTAATACTTCTTCATTAACTTTAACATCATAATAGTATAATTTCCACAGTTTCACAAAATTTGTTAAATAGGTCACTTATTTATGTAAACAAATTGTTATCCCCCAAATAATTAAAATTTAAAAAAAAATGCAATTTATGTTATTACGCTAAAATGTATAACTATTTGGTATTAAATTGTATCTTTTATATATACAATATATATATATATATATCAATTAATTAAAAGTGTACATTTTAATCGCGAAAATTTAATTTTTATTACAAATGGTTAAAATTTAATGTTATGTTTTGAGTTTGTACTTTGTATAACATTTTAGTAATACAAATAATTTAATTGTACAGATTAAAAAATATAATTGTCATTTGTCAAGGTGTTGTCATGGATATATTAAATTTGAATCCAAGGAATAAATCATTGTATACAAAATACAATTCTGAGCAAGTGAGATAGGAGATATGATTATCTATCTATAATGATAGATTACATAACATTATATATGAAGTATTAATAGTAATGTTAAAATATCAAGTCCTTTTAGCTGACCCGACAGACGCTGTCCTGTCTTAATTATGAATATTGAATTCAAATTGGTATAATTAATAAAAATAATATTACAAAATAAAGTGTTTATTCTTCTAATGCTTTATGATAATATACAACATTCTTAGTTTTTTTTTCTTGCGCGTATGTAAATAGTTTTGTTGGTATTCCGACACGGGAACAGGCGACATATAACTGGAAATGTGAAAAACATGGATTTTCGAGATCGATGACACAGACACTTAACGACTGTCCTTGCGATTTTTTTTATCGAATTTTGAAAGGGTAGTACAAAGGCTAAGACTTTTTGATTCCAAGGATTCTTTGGATTCCAAACGACATGCCATTCGACTTTAAACGGTTGCAAGTCCCAGAGTGACCAGCATTTGCAATGTCGACAAATAAATCTCAATGGCAGTCGTTAAGTTTTTGTGACATCATCTTTAAAATCCATGTTTTTCATATGGCCAGTTATATGTGGCCTGTTCCCTTGTCGGAATACCAACAAAACTATTTATATACGAGCGCAAAAAAAAAACTAAGATTATTGTATATTATTATCATAGAACATTAGAATAATAAACTCTTTTTTTTGTAATATTTTTTTTATTAATTATACCTATTTGAATTCAATCATCATATCTAAGACAGGACAATGTCTATCGGGTCAGCTAGTAAATAATAAAAATATGCTAAAGTGAGGTCGCTGCCTACTGTACGCTCCCTTCCATCATGTTATCAAATTTTTCGTAGTCCCACACTACATTTACTTAGTGTTTACTTCTACAGATAATAAATGTTCATATTAATAAAAAATAAAAAAGGTAATTTATTAATTGCTTTTTTTAATAGGATTATTTATTAATTGTATGCTATTGTGATAAGTAAGTCCACTTAAATATTATTTATGAAACATCGACCACAAGTCCATTTTCATAAATAATGGAATGTACGTCATAATTAGTAAACACAGTATTTTTATAATATCCATGGGAATTGAAACTATTTAACACAAAAACAAGAAAAATATAATAGAACATTTCCCGATAAGAATGTGTAAAAAAAAAAGTAAAAAAATATTATATAATACATAATTTTATATTTATTATTATATTATATTATATTATTATAATATTTATATTTTATAGCATAAAATATCACCTAATAGTAAAAGTAATACATTTCCCTATGTGCTCGGATTATAAAATACAACGTGTTGGAGATTCCTTATTGGACAATAATAATATTTAAATTTTAAAGTGTGATCATTAATATGCTGTATAAAAATAAATCTATACTATAGAATAAAGCATATACTTACAGTCTGCAGAGTGCCTGACGTAGTCTACATCACATTATTTTTATAAAAAAAATTTTGAAGAAATTATAACAATTTAATTAAATACATAAAAATTACAAATATTTTTTATTATAAATATCTTATAATCTCAATTTGTATTTCGATCAAAATATCGAAATTTTTTAAGTCTGGTAAACAACAGCTAAACAATAATAACTTATTGCAGTAATACAGAGATTATTTGTGTTAAGGATTTATGCTAATCAATAATATGTTAAATTTGACCTATGTCTATAAAATACTCAAATGTCAGTATTTTATCAACACAATACAATAACGTGCATTAACATGTCACCTGCAGTTTTATAAACGAACATTTTCTATTATTTGAAAATGTCAATACCGCTACCTACTAAACGGTATGTTTTAAATATTAAATTCTTGTCATAACTGAACAGATTAAAACATTCAATAGGCGAATTAAAAATTTTAATTGGATTATTTTTAATTGGTAGATAACTAGATTGAAAATTATTTCAAAACACATTTAATTATGTTTGACTTTAGATGTATCTACGTGTATCAGTATTCAACACACAAGTTAAATAAACATGTGTAATTATATAGTTTTTTCAACATTTAATAAAGAAATGATATGATAGGAAGTGATATATTACATTTTTAAAACAGATCTCAACTGTAAAATAAAATACGATCTTTGGAAATTTAAGAAAAACCAAATGTGTAATTTTATATGATGGCAAAATGAATCGTGTTGTCGCTTTAATATTATTTTATGTGACCAAAAATAACTCTTTTGACACCCACTACCTACACTTTAAAATACTGCCTACAACTTTTTTTTTAATCCAAACTTAATAATATTTTAACATTTCACAGTTTACATCAAATGTCACCACATAGGTTTATTTTATTTATTTCAAAGAATTTAACATTAATGCCATTCGTTTTTTCGATTCTGAGAGGAGCGATGAATGTATTGATTTTACAATGATGTATGTGTGTGTGTGTGTGTGTGTGTGTGTGNGTGTGTGTGTGTGTGTGTGTGTGTGTGTGTGTGTGTGTGTGTGTGTGTGGTTTTTTTGATGTCATCACCTTTTGGGCAATAAAAAGTGTTTCGATTTTCTTCAACAGTATCTTTTCTGATAGAAAAGTGAATCAAGTTTGGGGGGTAAAAAGTTTTTTTAAAACTAGTGCCGATAAAAAGTGTTTCGTTCTGTCACAAAACTTGAAAATGTAATACAATGTTCCTTGTAAGTTGTTGTTAGTGGAAATTAAAAAAAAGTTAAAAGTAAATCCACTAGCAAATTATTTTAAATTAGAAATTTATAAAAAATTTTATTTTTATATTTAATATTTAAAAATTTAATACAAGATTCCTTATAAGTTTGTCTACTTTTATCGAAATAATTTTTTCTCCTGAAAGTCAAATTAAATTTTTATGACCGTTAGAAGTCAACATTTTTACAACATTCGATATTCGATTTCCCATGTTTCTTATTTTGTTGTAACTCAAAAACGAATAACTGCAGATACTTGAAATTTACATCATATGTTTATTATACCAATTAATATACTTGTTAAAATTCAAATTTTTTTTTAATTCATATTGAACTATTTACGGACATTTTCAATTTTTTTTATTTTTTTTTTTTGCAATAAATGTCAATACAATTTTATTTGTTGGGTCGAAAAGCTATAAATTTATTAGAAGGCTCCAGATATATTGTAACAACATCAAATTAAAAAGATTAAATATAATCATTTAAGATCAAATTTAGATGAAATTTCTCAAATTGAAAATGTAGGTAACCACAATTTGTTTGTAGTTAAATATTTATAAAATGTTCAAATTTTATAGCTAAGGATCAAAAACGTAAAACAAAGTTGCACAAAAAAAGTTGATTCTATAACCAAAAAATCTAAAAAATATATTTATTTTATTGTTATTTTATGCTCAAATTTGGACGAAATTACATACTATTAAATACTAATACGTACAAAATTACTTAATGTAGGCCGATAGACCATCTTAGCTCAGAATCATTTTTCGTATATAATAATTTTACATCGTTGAATTCAAATTTAACACCATCCATTACTGTGGATTTGCAAGTGGAGACTTGTAACTTACTGTACAGCAGAGCAACATCCCGCTTTTTTTTACTTAACGATTCGTTGTATACCCACGAATCTACCGACAGTAAATTGTATTATCATTTGGACATACATTTTACATCAATTTTTATACACTTACATAAGAGAAAAGTAGTTTTTAAAACACCAAATTACAATCATAAAGATGGAAGTTATTTAATGAAGCCAATACGATTTAGTGTTTTTGTACTAGCTCACTGCTATCAGGTATTTAAGTTACACCATAATAAAAGTTGATAATAGAATAAAAATACATCTAATAATGTTGTTAATGTAATGCTTTCAAACATTTTTTTAAACAACATTCTAAAATAAATTACACTACAGACTTAACTTGTATTTATCGCTCCATTCAGACTCTACCTGGTTTTATACATGTATAATTTGAATTCTTAGGACTATGGCTCAATGTTTTTTCTTTGAATAAAAATATAATTTAAATTTTTAAAAACTCCAAAAAAGCTATCATAACACAAGTTATGCAAAATGACGATTCTTTGATCAAATTTTTAGTAGCTTATTAACTGTTTATAAGATATTTATTATATAGAACAACACTGATACTTTATATGAGCACATATATATCGTCAAATCAACAATCAAACAAAATAAGTTTGATTTAAAATGTTTTTACAAGATTAAAGCGTACACAATATTCTTTAGATTTTTAAAATATGTTTATAATCATAAATATAAAAATACACTATTTATCTAAAAGTATGTCGAAAAGGAAAGTTAATCATATTTTTTTTAAATCTTAGATGATTAAAGCACAATGATGATAATTATAAAAACAAGAAGGTGATAAAAAATTATCATTTTTCTTAGGTTATTTAAATATTGTTGTGTTAAGGCTGCATAATCTCATAAACCTGAATCATAAAGATATTTTTTAGTGTAATTAAAAGGCCTAAGTATTATTATGGTTTATACTTTTTTTAAACATTTCTTAAACACTTTTTAGCTCCTTTAATTTTATGATAATACAAATAAACAACTTGTCTGTATTTCTTAATAATTACTCTACAAAAAGTTTTTTTTTCACCACTCAGAGTTTATTTTTTGATCTTTGATTTACATGCTCTAACCTCTATATTAGGATTGTATCAGATTTAATGGATGAAAAAATGTATCTGATATCAAGTGCTGAGGAAGGGTCTATATGCATCGTAACATTGATGCTTACCGGTAGAGCTACTCCTAATCTACATAATGGTATCGTGAATATTGGGGACGAACAACATTATGTAAGTTATAGTTTGCTTTGAATAAATAAGACAAAATATTTTGTTCTATAACATCGAATTATTTGAACAAAAATTTATTTATTTTCAGGCCATACCACATTATGGAATATTAGCCAGAAGTGAAGTAGGTCTACTGGTACATTATGAAGAAAGCTCTACACCGGTACAAGTTACACAGATACCTGGTTCTCGGTTAAAAACGCCGTCCTATCCTATTTGGATAACTTGCGCCAAAGGTCATTACGGCATACTCTTCAACACTAATAGGGAATTGTTAAGAAATCATTTAGCTGAACGAAGGTATAATAATACATATTTTTTAATTACCTATAGAAATATTTAATTTTTAAAAATATGTCGTTTGTGATATTTTACAACAATCTATATTATCAATATGATATATATTATATATATATATTTAACTATATATATTAAATACACATTGTGTATGTTATACAATATACGTTATACATTTTCAATTTTATAAGAAAATAAATGTCTGAAGATCGAAGTTCACCAATCATGGATGTATGAAAACATAATTAGATAAAACATTATTGCAGCTATTTGTGCATATATTTTGTTCATAATAAACATACCGATTTTTTTTTAAACCCAAAGTTCAGTAAAAAAAAACAATCATTAATATAGTCTTTTTCAGCATTTTAGTTAAAACGATTAAATAGTAAATACTAAATATTATATAAGATGATAAGAACTTAACATTTTTAAGTTTTTGACTATTTAAATATTTGTTTTTTTTTTGATAGACCTTACGTATTTCTAGACTATAGTTTAAGTACTGCTGTAGTATTATCATGACCACGAAGCACCTCATGAAATAAGTTTAAAATATCAATACCTACTAGGTGTTTGATTTTTTTATTTATTGATTTCTTATTTTTGGCTACACCGTATAATACGAGTCTTGTAAACTTTTGTTATTCGATAATATTGAATGAAATTAAAAATAGGTATTTACTTCAGGTAGAAAATAAATACTCTTTGATTTTGCGTTGTAAACAAAAAAATTAATATATCATACCATTACAAAGAATTTTCAAGTAGAAGCCCACGTTTCAATTTAATGATTTTTAAAACAAAATTGCAATTAAAATTTTATCTGAAACACTTTTACATCTAATAAACGCCGACCACAATCGTTTCTGTTCCAATAATATTATTTTTATAAATTAATTTTAACAATTTCCGATTATTTTATTATGAAACTCGTAAAATAAACTAAGAAAATATTTTTAATTTTCCTCTTTTATGAGTCATGAGTATATTAAATGTACAGGCAGATACTTGATCGAATTTTTTGGACCCTAGCATTAAGTATAGAGTAAAGTGGACTATACCTCGATTACCAATCACAATATAATATATGGTCCACGGATAGCACAGGAAGCATTTATAAGTTTTAATTTAATGTATACAGCGTTTTGTACTTTTATTTCAGACCAGATGTTCTAACAATATACTTATTTGCTAAGTAATGATATGCCTACCTATCTATTATTTAGTTACTAAATATAGGCTTAAAGGTAATACATGAATAATATTACATGAAATATGAAATCAATCAAAAATATTACCATTTATTAATTATATTAACTATATATATTAATACACTGGTCTTTGAGTCTATTTAGAGACCACGGTAATACGTAATAAATAATAATATTTATAGTTGATGCAGGTAAATTTTGTTTTATGTTTTATTTGTTAATTAACACTAGGTACATAATTATTAATTTTAATTTTATTTATTAGCATAATCATGCGACTCACATGGTCTGAACAACATAATACGATTTTATGATAATAATAATAATAATAATAATAATAATAATAATGATAATAATAATAATAATAATCTAAGCAAAGTTAGTAACAAGTTCAAGGTATACAACATCTCCCTTTTTTATTTTTTTAAATTATAATATAATTTTAAATCAAATTAATTATTCAAAATGAGTACATGAGTTTACAAATAATGAGATGAGTTATACTTTAACAAACAATGAATACTTATATAATATAAACAAGCTTAAACAACTAAATGCTAACAATGTAATACATTAAATATTATTAAATAGTACATAAATATGGACTCTATGATTTTTAACTAAACATACATATGGAATAACTAATAAATAATTAAATATATTGACAAGTTACAAAATTCTAAATCATGCATTGTTCTTAGAACTTATTATAACCATATCTCTCAACTTTTTTAATTTTGCGACCATACCTTGTAATATTACTGTCTCTTTTTTCTTGCACATTAATATTATTTTTTTCTTTTTCAGCTAGAATGTTATCTTTTTTCTCACCCATATTAATCTCATCATCAAAACCATTAACTAAATCATAATCTTTAACTTTTTTAATGAACTTTGAATTGCGCCTCAGTATTTTATCATTCACATCTTTGACTATATAAGATCTAGGGTACTTTGTTTTGTTAACAATTATACCTGGGAACCACTTTTTGTTAAGTGCATTTTGAATGTAGACTTTCTGACCTACATAAAACTCTTTTTCTTACTTTCCTGCATTTTTATTATAGTTCATTATCTGTTTATTTTTATTTTTAATTATTTCCTCCCTAGCATCAACAACTATTGGTTTTAAACATTCTTCATTAAAGTTATTTACTAAAGACCTTAATCTTCTACTTTGCAACAGCTGAGCAGGTGAATAATTTAGACCTGTTATAGGTGTGTTTCTGTAATTTAGTAAGTATATGTTCAGATCACCACCTTCTTCACCAATTTTTTTTAACATGCCCTTAACTATGTCTACCGATTTTTCAGCCAAGCCATTGCTTTGATGAAAGTATGGACTGGATGTAATTAATTGTATATCCCACTGTTTACAAAAATTTATAAATTCTATACTGTTAAACGGATTATTGTCAGCAACAATATTTTTGGGTATACCAAACCTACTAAATATTTTTTTAAGTTTTTCAACAACATCACTAGTAGTTTTACCTCTGATTTCTTCCACCTCTAGCCATCTAGAAAAGTAATCATTAACTACTATATAATTTTTTCCTTGGAACTGTGCAATATCCATACCAATTTTTATATAAGGTAGTTCAGGAATATCATGACATAGCATCAGCTCTTTTACCTTAGAACAGCTAAATTTTAAACAAACATTACATGACTCTATAAAGCTTTCTATATCTTTTTTCATGCAGGGCCAATAAAATAACTGTTTAGCCATCGACCAGGTTTTTGTCATGCCTAGATGTGTACTATGTAACATTTTAATAACATAACTTCTTAACATTTTAGGTACTACTAACCTCATTCCAAAATATATTAAGTCATCTTCTAATATTAATTCATTTCTTAGTTTGAAATAATGCTTCAATTCACCACCATGATTGCATTTGTTTGGCCAACCAGTACTTAAATAATTGACAATTTGGCTTAACACTTCATCTTTCCTAGACTCTTTCTTAAAATCTTCCTTTTTATTGTTTTCAAATTTAATTTCAACTATTTCCATTGTATGTACCACATCATTTAACGACTCTTCGCTTTTCTCATTTCTTTTAATATAATTTCTACTCAAAAAGTCAGCTACGTACATGAGTTTACCAGGTAAATACTCTACATTCACATTGTATATTAATAATTTGACTCTTAATCTTCTAAGCCTATTATTTGGTATTTTGTATATTTCTTTTTTCATAACCGAGACTAACGGTTGATGATCTGAGTATATTTTAACAGATTGTTGGCCATATATTAGATAGTGAAATTTTGTGCAGGCAAAAACTATGGCTAACATTTCCTTTTCGATTTGTGCAAAATTAATTTCAGTATCACTCAAACACCTTGATGCGTAATGTATTGGTTTATTATTTTGAAAAATACAGCATCCTATAGCTTTCTCAGACGCATCTGTTTGTATTTCAAATGATCCTGTTAAACTAAAGATATTTAATACTGGAAATTTACAGAGTATTTCCTTTATTTTTTCAAAGACTAGCTTATGGTCTAGAGTCCAATACCAGATAATATCTTTTTTTAACAGTTCTCTAAAAGGGGTTACTATTTCAGATAAGATAGGAATAAATCCCCGCAGGTAATTGACCATTCCTAGAAATGACTGTAAATCTTTTTTGTTACATGGTTCATTTAATTCCCTAATTGATCTTATTCGTTCTTCATCCGGTTGAACTCCTTCACTACTAAACAAAAATCCTAAAAATTTTACCTTAGGCACTTTATATTGTAACTTTGCAGAATTAAACTTAATATTAAATTTTCTCGAAGTTTTTATTACCTCATTCAACGCTAAATTATGTTCTTCTATCGTTGAGCCTGCTACTAATATATCATCAAAATATACATTTACGTTTTTAATGTTACCAAAATATTTAGAAGTCATTTGTTGAAACTTCTCAGGGGCAGATGATATGCCAAAAGGCAATCTTAAGTACTTATATCCTCCAAAAGGTGTACTAAAACAGCAATAGTTTTGTGACTTCTGATCTAATTCACATTGATAAAATCCATCACGAAGGTCCAATAAAGTAAAATATTTTTTATTTAATAAATTTAATTTAATTTCTTCTAGTGTTGGTATTTGGTACATTTCCCTAATTATATTTTTATTAAGCTCCCTGGGATCTAAACAAACTCTCAAACTTTTGTCTGGTTTTTCGATTATTATTATAGGACTCTGCCATTCGCTTGGTTCTTCACATTTTTCTATAATTTTTAATTCACACATTTTATCTAGTGTTTCTTTTAATTTATTTACTATTTTATAAGGTACTCTTCTTGGTGGGAAGATTTTAGGATTAGCGCCATCTTTAACTTTTATAGAAATTTTTTCTGGAAATTTTCCTAAACCATTAAATATATCAACATACTTTTGTAAGAATACATCTTTTTCTGTTTTACAACTATTAATTTCATTTACTTCTTTTATTTCATAATTTAGTCTTATGCAATCCTTTAACCCTAGTATTGGTAAATCATTGTAATTAACAACTTCAAAATAGGTACTAATTTCATTCTTAAAGTTTTTTAAATTTACTTTAACTTTTCCCAATGACTCTATTTTAAATCCTCCAAATGATTTAATAACTACTGAACTTTTCTCTAAGTTTTTATTTAATTTTTTAAATTCTTTAAGAGGCATTACATTCAACTAAGCTCCTGTATCTAATTTAATTTATAATTCTTTTTTACTATCAATCACAACAATATCAGTCCAATTCATTTGTTTCTCTGACTCAATGCTATTTAATGACAAATAAGTTAA